GGGTGTTACTTAATGATACGCCATAAATATTATATAAGGAAAAACAGCCTTTGAGCGATACAAGGACGTGGTACTTACTTTAAATAGAGGGTGTTAGTTAATGATACGCCATAAATAGAAGCGCGTATTCCGGGACTAAACTTAAGTAGAAAAGTCCATATAAACATGTGTCATAAAATGCCTGGATTACAAGATACAGTGTCAAAATTTTAAAAATCTACCTTTTAGTAGAGAAAAAACAATGTCAAACTGACACGGAAAGTTAAAATTATGTTCGTAGCAACATACCAAGGATCAAAATCGCTTCGATTGTAGTCTAACTATTTTTCGACTAATGAAACGTTTTATTTGTTTTTAAATGAAAACGAAGTGAGATACAAAAATATAGCAGGAGACAAAAAAATGTATCTTTGCTCAATTCTGAAACAACAACGTATTTCTTCAAAGTCTGTGGTATATGAATATATTTTTTGTCAATATTATTTGTGAGACTGCCCCCCGAGACGCCAATGGAATTCATCAGCTTCTAGTTAGCGTTGTATTTCAATGAACAATACTACCAAAATTAAACAAAAGTGGCAGAAGGTGCTAAAAATCCATTAATATAATAATAATTTCAAAACTGCATTTTTTGTGACGTTAAGGTTTAATAATCGATTTTTATTATCGAATGCTACATGTGAGCGAAACTTTGTACAAGGTAATTTGGGGCGCTAAATATGAGTATCAGAGTGAAAACACTCTAAACTGTCATCGGACCGGATATGGGGTTGAAAGATTGGAACAAAACCTGGTTTTCCGGGGCTGCCCGTGAATCCTAGCACTGTATTGATATAGAATTCGGAATTTACGCTCTCAATTTATCTAGAAAACAAGCTTTCATCTAGATCAGAGACGAACAGCAGTTTTCTGAGATTTTTATTAGTTATTTTTCAACAAAGTAGATTTTTTGCCAGCATCTCCGAACTGAATGGGCCCCAAATTCGGATTCAGCAACTGAAAAAACTTATTAAAAGGCATATTGGGCTCACATTCCCGACTGAACCATTTTGTTCCTTTTTGGTAGCATATGTTACATGGTTATTATACATTAAATTGCTTTAAATGCGGTTGTACAGGTATATGATTCCGTTTTACATGTAATTATTTAACGAAAAATTGCAAAACTAAGCGTTTTTTGCCAAAAATTAATTTTTAGTATCGATGGCTACATGTGAGCGAAACTTTGTACAACAAGGTAATTTGGGACTCTCAATATGAATATCATAATGAAGGGATTCTAAAGTGTCATCGGACCGGATTTGGGGTGAAAAACTGGTAAGCCAGGGCGGGGCTACCCGTGAATCCTAGCATTGAATTCACATCCAATTCGGAATCTAGGCGCCCGATTTACCTAGAAAACAATCAATAAACAACCCTTTTTTTTAAACTATGATAAACTTTTCAATTTTACCGTAACTTTTCGATTTGAATTTTCTTGTAAATAAGGCATGCCATTTAGTGACACAATGTATAGTATTAGTAATGATGGATATATATTAATAGAATCAAATTTCTAAACCTTACCAGTTTCCAATAAATGGTAAAAATGATTTTTAATTTCATTATTATTTTTTTATTCAAAAGGTAACTTAATCGAGGGTGTTCTTAGCTATGAGGCAAGAAGAAAATACTCAGTAGTTTGAGGGTAATTGCAGGGAAATGGACACGGATTAAAAACCAAATTTTAAAAGCATCACTTTTTGAGGTGCTGTTGTGATGACGATAAACCATAAAAATTAATATATAACTTCTAATTTACGTTTCACTAGGGGTTGGTGTAAGATTCTTCAGCAGCACAAAGCTAGATTATTTTAGCTGTCTTAATAAAATACATAACCAAACTTCGAAGGGTAATAATAAGAAAAAAAGTGCATATAAATATGGTTCAGGAAATGCCCCCGTTTGAGGATATTTTCTAGAAAAAATTGTAATCCTTCAGTAACTTTTTTGGTTTATTTTTTGCCGGATTTAAATCTATGAATTTTTTTTCTGGGGGACTGAATTCAATTCACGCGTTTTTCTTATCCAACATGATCTATTTTTGTATCTTGAAATTGAAGCATTTGCTTGTATATAAAAACCTTTTTTCTTACAATCCAACAAGCAATTACGCCTTTTGTCCGGTATTTCATTACAATTCTGTATGTAATTTTTAATACGGAAATACCTGACGACGTCAAATGACTCGTTTTTGTGTTGTTTCTGCAGACTAAAAATATTTATCGCCTGTTCGAAAGTGTAAAATTACCTTTACATTACAAGATTATACATACACAGCATCTAAGTTATGTGCATTAAATACAGCACTCATTCGGAGAACATTTGAAATGCAAAAAGCAGCATTACCATAAACACAGCTCACCTTGATTTTTCCTAACAAAAAGCAATAAGAATTCGTTCTGGTTTCCCATACATGGGAACCATTCGAAGCTCTTAGATAATACGGTCGATTTTATTCGTAACGAAGCAATTATACAAGAATCTCACAAGACAATGTTCAACAATGAGCGGAACGAGGATAATGGATGGAATGTTGTTTGCATTCAGTCCAATGAGAAATAATCACCATGCTAATAACACGCGGCGACTTATTCACACACTTTTTATTTATTCTATTATTTTTTGCTTATTAATCAAGTGATGAACAAACTATGTGCCATTTTCCCAGTTGCGAGAACATGGCAAAATTTGGTGGCACAAATACAAATTAATTAAAAAAAGGTCCATTTTCATTTCTCAAAAACTCGATCAATATCATCATTTTTAAGGTTACCTGATGTCTAAACTAAAGTTCAAACCTTCTTTTATAAGAAGCGAAAAGTATGCTGAGCTTGTTTTATTTTAAGGCATTGTACCTAATTGTTAATAACACGTCAGCACCTGGTTCAGCGCCTTTTTAGTAACATGACGACGCAGCTGTGCATTTTCTAAGAAACGATTCGGCAGTTTCATAATGTCAATATATATGCTAACATCTGTAAGCGGTCAAACCATCGAAAAACCCATAAAATTTATAACATTCCAACGGAAACTTTATTCTGAGAATGAAGGAAGCGCCGCATAGGGGCACATACACAAAACATAAATAAAAGAGGTGCTCGTAAAACGTTTATGTTTGTTCGATTATGTATAGGTGTGATCTGATTGACAGATTCTAAAACTGTTCCTTTTAAATGCGACACCGCTAAATGAGTCACCCTCTCGATCCAAGTGGATCATCTTGGAAGAGCAGGTACTCAGTTCTATGTTAAATGCTCAAGTGAAAGTATCTCGTACTTTTTCTTTTCATCAACGCTTAAATTCACAACTTCCTTCTGGTTATGATGCTACTAAATTTTCATACAGTGGCTACTTAAATTTTTGATACCATAATTTGGAATTCATTATTATAATATCTCATTACTACTTTTGATAACGAAACTACCTCACTCTCTCTTGATCTTATAAAGCTTATCTAATTTATATCTCTAGTTCTTCTTCCATATTCTATGAGCTAATTGCTTTGAACTGAAATTTGAATTTTGAATGAACAATCATAACCAGTATCAGTTCATTTTCTACTTTGATAGTTGCTCATTTGGTAGTCGGAGTGAAAGGACTGAACAACCCAGCATTTTCTTTATTGAGTAAATCTTTTCAAGGTTTTATCTTAGAGAGTTAATAAATGAGTATTCTTTAACTCTCGATACCCAATTCGTAGTCTTGTAGTGAAGCTCCACTTAAAACACGGTATCAAACTTTTACGTGAATGTTTCCAGTTTGACACTATTGAGAATGAAGCGTTTTGAACAGTGGTTTTGAAGATACCTCTGGTCAATTTTCAAATATTAAATATACAACTTAGGTGTAAAATGAACCAAATAAATTGACCTCAGTGCGCGCCGACCTTGAGATGTCTAATCAGCGGAAGATAGTAATAGTTGAATTACCTTACATCTTTTTCTCAAATCACTACCACCCGATAAATTAATATTCCGTGTTATTTACCGTTTCCGTTGCTCAGCTTCAACCGCACCAAATTCTTAATAACATGAACTTTAAGTTATTGCCGGAATTTTCGCCCGAATTGCGGTTTATCTTGGTGATAATAATGGCTGACATCGTAATTAGAGTTGTTCAATATTTGGTTAGGATTACTGTCCCTCATGGGAATAAAAAAATATCATAAGAATGCATCATCCTTCCAGCTCCTAGGCAAGTCTTTAAACTAAGATTTTCGGCACAAAATTTGATAGGAAATACGTATATAAAACAGACTGACAAGTGAAGAAAATAGAACGTTTTGACCTTGATTACAATAGCAAGTTGAGTTAAGCACTTTTGAAATTATGCTTTCGCCTAAATTCGTCACATAATTAGACTTTTAATATCGTAATAGAATCTTTGTAACGGGTGATTTTTTAAGAGGTATAGGATTTGATTTTCAAAAAAAAAACAAAAAATTTGAAAAAACAATTATAGGGGAGAAGGGGGCAAGTTGTTACGAGGGCAAGTTGTTACATAATTATTTTAAAGCGCAGCAAGTACGACGGGTTGCCTGAAAATGTACAAGAGATTGGCTCTGCCGACCCGCCATCTGTACACTAACAGTTATACTCATGTGTAGCGTCCTTCATGGTGTTTTCGTGTATAATGTTGTTTCAGTTATAAAACTGTACCGTTGTCTGTTCGCTTTTGTTTCCGTTTGTGAAAAATTGGTAAGTAGTATAAATATGTATATTATACCGTTCTAGATCCTATATTTTTCTCTTTATTTGCATGCCGTTGTCTTTACCTGATTCACAATACTTACCAAAAAACATTGACCTAACCTCATTTTGTGCACGCGGGGCAAGTTGTTACAATAATTTGGGGGCAGGTTGTTACTGTAACATCTTGCCCCATATATTTTAATGCAAGTACTATAATTTTCCATTCCACTAAAATTTACACAATAAAATTGTTTTTGTTGTTTTCAGGTTCTTGAACATGGTGCGAACGTACAAGAAGAAAACTGCAAGAGGTATTATTCCAATTGAACAATATGAAAGTGCCATGCAGGCCATATTACAAGAAAAATTATCAATTAGAGATGCTGCTACTCGCTACGGGGTTAATTTTATGACGTTACACCGCTATATGAAAAGAAAGTTAGCCCTAAACGTTGAAAACAGAAGCAAGTGCTTAGTTGGCTACGCTACGCACAGAAAAATATTTAACGATGCCGAAGAACAGGAACTTGCGAAATACACAGAGTATTCCGCTAAAATTTATTACGGTCTTACAACTTCTGATTTGCGCAAACTTGCATTTCATTTTGCGATAGCAAACAACATATCTGTTCCAGAAAATTGGAAGGTGAAAGAAATAGCTTCCAAGGATTGGTTATATGGATTTCTGAAGGGGCATCAAACTTTATCTGTCAGAACACCCGAAGCTACTAGTATGGGCAGAGCCACTGCGTTTAATCCCCATAATGTATCGCAGTTTTTCAATAATCTTGGCAAGGTTTATGATAAACATAAATTCCAGCTTCAAGATGTCTATAATATGGACGAGACTGGACTTACCACGGTCCAAAGGCCCACAAAAATCATAGCAAAAAGGGGAACTAAGCAGGTAGGCGCTATCACTTCTGGAGAAAGGGGTCAACTTGTTACCTTGGCATTAGCGGTTAACGCAAATGGCAATTTCGTACCTCCATTCATAATATTTCCACGGAAAAAATTCAAGGATGTTATGGTAGCAAATGGGCCTCCTGGTTGTGTCGGTGCATCCCATTCCTCTGGGTGGATAACATGTGAAAATTTTTTGTTGTTTATGAAACATTTTGTCCAATTTGTCCGCTGTAGCAAAGAGAAACCAGTTTTAATGGTCTTAGATAATCATGAATCACATTTATCTATCCCTGAGTTGAACTTTTGCAAAGTTAATGGAGTTTTCTTTTAAGTTTCGCGCCCCACACATCTCACAAGCTGCAGCCCCTTGATCGCAATGTGTTTGGCCCACTTAAAAGATATTTCAATAGTGCTGCAGATGCATGGTTAAGATCTAATCCAGGTAAAGTAATGAACATCTATGATATACCTACCGTTCTAAGAGATTCATTTTACCTTGCTGTTACGCCTCTTAATATACAGAAAGGATTTAAGGTGACTGGAATTTGGCCTTTCAACAGATAAATACTTCAAGATGATGAATTCTTACCCTCAGAAGTAACAGACAAGCCAAAGCCAGAACATATTGACACAGTAATGGAAATAAGTCCTGAACCAGAATTTAATAGGGAAAACCAAAGAACCCCACAACCTTCTAATCTGTTGATTTACTATTTACTGTTACTCATATAACGCCCCGAGAATTAAAACCTTACCCAAAAGCCATGCCAAGAAAATCAAAAGTAGGTCGGAAGAAAAGAGTTTCCGCAATTTTGACAGACACTCCGATTAAATCTGCTTTAGAGGAGGAGGAAAGGACAAGACAAAGAAAAAAAAATGTGGGAGCAACTAAAAGAAACATATCAGGTGAATTAACAAGTGGGGCAAAGTCTAAATGTAAGAAACAGAGCGCTAAAAAGACCCTTAAAAAAATAGATTCTACAAGCTCAGAAGAGGATGAAGAATCGGCATGTCTGATATGTTTAACTCCATTTTCACATTCTAGAAATGAAGAGCGGATCCAGTGCTTTGTCTGTAAAGGGTGGGCGCATGTAGGTTGTGGCAAAGATATCGATTTTTATGTTTGTATTCACTGCTTGTCCGATAGTGATTAGTTTAACTTTCCTTTACAAGTTTCTTTAGGTTTTTGTTTTTACAAAAGTTTCATTTAATTTTTTTTATTTTACTTTATGTAATGTTCCGAATGTCTTTTGTGTTGCTAAATAAAGGTTCCTTCCAAGACCATTTATCAAATGCATCATCTTACCCCTTAGACTGTAACAATTTGCCCTACAGAGGGGCAAGTTGTTATAGTTTACAAAGTTACTTGAACTTATAATTACCAAGTACAAAAAATTAAAAAAACTATAAAATAAAATTGATAATACATGTACAGATATATGTGGTACCTTTCTCCAATTTTAGTTTTCATATAAAAGAACAACTTTTGCCCAAATAAATAACTATATTAATTTTGTAACAACTTGCCCCCTTCTCCCCTATCTTTATTTGAGTCGATAGAACGGTCGATATAATTTAATGTTTAAAGATTATTTCATGTAAATGTTGGCCGCGGCTCCGCTTTAGATGGCCCATGCGCAAGGTCCAATTTTGTTGTGCGTCAATCGTTGCTGGTTTATCCCTGTAGACATTAGCCTTAACATGGCCCCACAAGAAATAGTCCAATAGTCCAACGGCGTTAGATCACACGATCTAGGCGGCCAATTGACCGGCCCCAAACGTGAGATAAACTGTTCACCAAACTCGCCTCTCAATAGGGCCATTTTTTCGTGTGCGGTGTGGCATGTGGCACCGTCTTGTTGAAGCCACATGTCAGCCAAGTCCAGCTCTTCCATTTTGGGCCAAAAAAAGTTTGTTATCATCGCACGGTAGCGCTCGCCATTCACAGTTACGTTCCGGCCATTGTCGTCTTTGAAGAAGTACGGCACGATGATGCCACCGGCCCATAATCCACACTAAACAGTGATTTTTTCGGGATGCATTGGTAGCTCTTGCAATGCTTCTGGCTGGTCTTCACTCCAGATGCGGCAATTTTGCTTGTTAACGTACCCATTCAACCAGAAATGAGCTTCGTCGCTGAACACAATTTATCGATAGAAATGTGGATCTTCCTCCAACTTTTGCCAGCGCCCATTCACCAAATTGGAAACTTTGTGGGAGGTCGTGTGGCTTCAATTCTCGCACCAGCTGTATCTTATAAGGTTTTACACCAAAATCCTGTCGCAAAATTTTCCACGTAGTGGAGTAAAAGAGGCCCAATTGCTGCGAACGGCGGCGAATCGACATTTCACGGTCATCACTAACCCTGGCGGATACAGCCGCAATATTTTCTTCAGTCCTCACTCTACGTCTGCGTGTTGGTGGTTTAATGTCCAATAATGTAAACTGGGTTCGAAATTTAGTCACAAGCTTCCGAATAGCTCCCTCAGTAGGCCGACCAAATTGCCCGTAAATTGGAAGCAGTGCTCGATGCACTCTCTTAACCGAGCATGAATTTTGATAGTAAAATTCAATAATTTGCAAGCGTTGTTCGTTCGTAAGTCGATTCATCGTTAAATTATAGACCAAACTGAACAAGTTTGACAATGACCCAAGACACGATTCACACGTCATCTGTCAAAAGCAGTGTTGCCAAAAACATACTAGCAAAAAAATCACCCATTATTATCAATATCTATTGTGGAATAGGAAGTGACGTAGTACTGTGTCATTTGAATTCAATTTGAGATAGGTCAAAATGAATATCACTTCTCCTTCAATGTTGTATCTTACTCCCACTGGTTGAAATCTATAGAGTGATTTCATGTAAGATTGATGGATGAATAATGGATATGATTCTATGATATCGTCTCTAATTAGATGCGCATAAGGTTAGGTTACTATATTATATTCACTCCTACGCTCATGACTCATGTATGCGGGACGAAACTTTGCATCGAGAATATTGTCAAGCTTAAAGGCAAATTATTAATGGAAGTATTCAAAAATTCTTCTTTTTCTGGAACAGGTCAGCTTTTTGAATAAATCAGATCCACATATATTATGTAATCAACTATTGTCTGTTTGTTGCGGGAGATCCCGAAACGACCATTTTTCTACAAAAAACATTGGCTTCGCGGCATTCAAGAATTCTTTTTCGAATTAAAAGAAATCAGCAAAAAAAACCCAATGTATCTACCCAGTTTCTTTCGCTTGTAGTCACATATTGTGCTACAGTTTTTTTTTAATTACTCATGAATGAGTTAGCAGAAAGCTGAATCACCATATACATTTTTTAATAAAAGTGTCGTTTAAAAAGAGCAGATGTTGGAATCCGTGAAGAGGAAATATTAAGTCTTAGAAATGTCAAATTATGTGTTAAGTACACTCAGGTTAAAAATAAACGCAACAAGCAAAATTTTGGCTAAATTCGGATCGTCATCACTTTTTTACTTTTACCTATTGATTTTGTTCAGCAGGTGATAGGTACACTCATTGGCATTAGTAAATGTGTAGATATGCGTTCATGATTGTCGTCACGGTTATTGTACAGAGTAAATCAAAATGGTGTTTCATTAGCCCAACTTTGAGTCACTGTGTGGTGTGACTCCAGTTACCAATCAAACCGCAATGCTTTCCATTATCAAGAACGACATTTTCTCTATAATATGTTCTTCATTCACGTCAATATATACAGTGGTTTAAGTTTTAAAGGCTAATGAAGATTTAATCATTAATTATGCTCCTTCCTTTAATATTTTTTCAATTCCCGTACGAAGTCACAAAGATTTTCATCGATTTGTACAGAAATCTATTGCCTCGTACTCGGGTCGAATATTGCTCCTAGATAATGATTCCTTCATTGCGTGTAGGTGAGCATGATTTAGGCATATTTTGCACTATACAGAGTAGTTCATTTTCAAATTGCATACTGAATTTGACAGATAACCAACTTGTTACATAAAGTTTAGTAGATACACGCCTCCAGAAGAGAACAATATGATATACGCAAAGTTGGAGTGGTCCTTTTCAGAAACAACTACCCTTGAAATAACAAAGGTAATATGTAGTGAAACGAGGGCGACCAAGTAAAAAAAAATAAAGGAAAAAGTACTCACTCTCCATTTAACGAGAAGGGTTAAGTACGTCTCTGCCCGAAATCATACCGCTCCAACAGAAAATGAAATCAGCTGATGCGCTACCGAGCAGACGCAGGCGGTGGTGCAGACCACGAACTGAGGTAACAAATATGACGGCGTTGCCGCGTTTTAAGTTTTTAGGTAAACGTAAAAGCATCGGTGCAGGCTTTGAGAATGGAGTCCCTCCCCCGAATGAAAGCACCAGCTTGTTCAATTCTGAGACGAAGTTCGTCAACCGTATGCAGTTTTGTTTACTAAGCGTTTCATTTCTCCCCAAAGAAAAAAATCACATGGTGTTAAGTCTGGAGATCGCGGAGGCCCCGCTACGGGTCCATTACGTCCGATCCACCTATTCGGAAATAATTCATTCAAAAAGTCACGCACTTCGCGTCTAAAATGGGGCGGTGCACCATCGTGCAGAAACCACATTGATTGTCTTACACTTAATGGCACATCTTCTAACAAGGAAGGTAAAATGTTGCGTAAAAAGTCTAGGTATTGCATCCCGTCCAATCGATTTGGGAGAATAAATAGTCCAATGAGCATACCGTTCACCATGCCAGCCCAAACATTCACCGAAAATGTTTGTTGAAAATGTGCCCGACGGACAGCGTGCGGATTTTCTACTGACCAAACATGAGTGTTGCGAAAGTTACTCACCCCATTACGCGTGAACGTAGATTCGTCTGTCACCAATATGCACTTCAAAAAGTCCGGATTATTGTCATGTTGATGCAACAATCACTCACAAAACCGCACTCTTGCTGGAAAATCGTCAGGTTGAAGGGCTTGTACACGTTGGACGTGAAACGGATACGGCCCCTCTTCACGCAGCGTTTGCCACACTTTAGTTTTTGATACTTGCACTTCTCTAGCCACGTCTCTAGTGCTTGTTGAGGGATTCTCGTCTACGCGATTCAGTAGTTCTTCCTCAACTTGCACCATTCGTGGTTGTCTAGGCCTCCCACTGTGCCCACCTCGAAATTCCTCCAAATGGCCCGTATCCCCAACTCTCTGGACCAGGTACACAAATCTGCGGGGCCTTGGATGATATCGTCTAGGGAAACGATCTGCATACACTCGCGAAGCCTCTGTAGCATTTTGAAGACATTCGCCATAAATTAGCAACATATCAACGAGTTCATTATTGGTGTATGAGTGTGCCATTATTATTTTTTTTGAAACGCAATCGATTGTACGGGTTCGTTTACCTCTACATGCGTGACCGTAACCGTCGGTTAAAGGTTGCATACTGACCTGACACACTGACCCGGACGCAGTTCTGTCGTCGGGTTGAGCCAGTGACCTTGTACCACTCGGTGATGTCGCGGGTCGCGGCTACAGGACGGTATTCAGATATTTTTGATGTTGCAGAGCCCTTTATCTCGGTTCCCTTAAGACATTGGTGTATATGGTATTAAGAAAAATTGCTTATGTTTTCAAGATGTACACGTCGTGTAAAGGAAAACCCCAACTTTGCGGACACCCCGTACTGTCCTATGACCTTCCTGAGGTGCTTTGCTTCCCGTAGTAGCAACACGAGTATTTTCGTTGTTCGCCACTGTAGATAAACAGTATCAATGGCGATTTAAAAAAATGTGAACCTATCGCAGAAAGGCAATAGATTTGTGTACAGTATGGTGAAAAACTTTTTGAAATTCGTACGGGAATTAAAAAAGTTTATGAAACGAGGAAGCATAATTGGTAGTAAAACTTGGCGAAATGATACAGGAAAATGATGACCATTAACGTAAAACAAGATTATACTTTGAAATTTATATAAAACGTTTCAAATTAATACGTAATTTTTCTGAAGGCAAAAAAAAACAATTTTTATTTCTTATTTATTCAAATAGTCTCTTAATTTACTAAAATCATATTTCTATAAGTTTTCATTACTCTCAAAGTTAACTTCAAACTATTAAAAATCCTAGTAAAACGACGATTAAACTTATTCAATGATATATGGGACATCTCACACAGAAAGAGACAATTGCCATGTTTCACTTTTCAAAAAGATACGATCGAACCTAAATCGAATCACCAAATAAAAAATGCATGAGCAGATAGATAAATCACCTGGGCTTTTTCGATGCATGGCAATCAATGCTGGCACGACGTGTCATTGTTCTTTCAGCAGTGAAATACGCGGACCGCCATTCGAAATCAACAATTCACGATAAAAATTCTCGGTTATGTGCACACAACTTTCGATTTCTGTATGTATTGAGGTTAATGAATGCTTTACCGCTGCCACTACCATGTTTTTACATATTTGCATTCTGAATTTATGTTTCTATGTTTTATCCGATCACGCGTATTTTTGGTCTGAGCAGGAAATCGATTTTGTATAAAATTATGGTGCGGTTGGATTTAATCGATCATTTCAAAAACCACCTCAGTCAATTTTTTTGGCCTTTTTCTTCGCCGCCACTGGACCGATTTTCAAAAAATACAAAGATTTTTCGTTCTTGGCGTAATAGTAACCTGTTTGAATATAAAGTGTGAACACCCTTTAACGTGTAGTAGGCATGTTGAGTATGTCAAATGTCACTTGTCAGTTCAAAATGTACGCTCCCAAAATATCAAATAAAAGATTTGCATAAATCTAAATGGATCCGTTGTTGTAATAAATAAAAGAGCAACACAAAACATAACCTTGTGTGAAAATGTCATCCAAATGCGAGCTAGCCAACGATTAGCGGACAAACAGACAGACAGATCGGCAGATAGATAGACTAACAATCCGATAGACAGACATACCGACGGAAATGAGTGACATGGTTTTTCGTGAAGTACATGTCATACAGGGTGATTCACAAGTCGTGACCAAAAATGAAACATCATATACAGGAACGTATTTTATATAACATGTTTCCTTCATTGAAAGATACATTGAAGTCTATTGGCGGAGGTACAGCCCAACTAGCAAAGTAGTGGTATAAGCTTTTCGTAAAAGAACCGTAAAAGCTCTCTATTGTTGTTGACTGAACACCAAAATGCTGGCTTAATGTTGTGTGGAATGCAAATTTGCTTTCTGCAACATATTTGCTCTAAAATGAGGTGTTTAAAATATTCTTATAGCATAGTTATACAACACCTTATAGGACAAATTTTTAACTGTTGCATAACCGTTTATACAACTATTTTATACGGCATATTCGCAAGTTAGTCAAAATGGTTGTGTTGTGGCATCCATGGTAACGTTTATAAAACAAACCCGAGCCTTGTTGTTTTGCTGTGCAATTTACTACTTTAGCCAACAAATTGCTCCCAACAGAACCACTTATACAACTGTTGTTTAGTAACTGTTAAAGGCTGTACATATGCTAAATATGTTGGTAAATAACTTGATCAGAACCTAACTTTCTGCTGTCATATTTTTGTTAAAATGCCATAACCAATGTTTTAAGACAAACAACGCATGCATATTGGTTCAAAAGGTTGTATTAACTGTTCAAACAGAAGATATAGAGCTGGTACAAATTCTGGGTAAATCATTCGACTCTGTCGGTATTTCATTTCAGACATTTGTCAAATTGTTGTATAACACCTGCAGGCAAAACCAAAATATTCTAATAACCTAAAGACAACATGGACGATGCCATGATTGTACACAACCACCCGCCATATTGGGCAAACATTTATTCCTCTATTTAATATTAAATAATTATGTTTCAGTTCGAAATTACAGATATAAAGTGATAAAAATTAGTGTAATTGTGTCTAAATATAGGATTTGTGGAAGATTTAACGCAGATAAGTTCAGTTTTCCATCTTAAAAATCTAGACATACTTTTGATCATTGTCAAAATATGAATCAAATACGAAGCCCGTAGAAATTGGGTAACTAATTAGCACGATAATCACAATAAAATTTGCTGCGCAAGTAATTCAATAGCCCTATAACAAAGAGTAGAAGTTTATCATATACCTGTGTATGAAATTCACAATGGCCGATATGTAAGTAAACAATATGACTGTAATGTGTTAGTTATATATTCTTCACTTCGTCTATACAATACATAAGAAATAGTTTGGTTGCAATAAAGTAGAATCACGTAACAGAATAGTTGTATAGTTGACAAAAACTGAATCTTCCACTGACGCAAATGTCCTATAGCGGCTGCAAGAGGCTTATACTTTTGTTTTATAACTGTTACCTGCAGTCCTTATACAACCTCTTAAATGACTGAAGTGTCCTATTAGGGGTGCCCATTCCGCTTGTATAGCTGTTTTTCCAATGTTCTTACAGTATACAATGCTGTTTAAGGAATACTGTAAACTCATTCTTGCAACTCTAATAGGAGTGATAATTGTTAGTTGGGAGGTGGTTGGTGGCACCATTTTTCCAAATAAAAATAGTACGCCACTCTTTTTTTTCGAAACGCGAAATTTTCCTAATTTTACCTTCAATTTGCCACAAATAATTACTCTTTCCTAGAGTGCACCGTTTTCGTATAACATCCAAAAAACGTAATATCTCATTTTACGCCAGTAGGCGTGGGAAGTAAAAAGCTGACAATATTACCTAAAAGGAATGCAAATATGTACCCATCAAACTTTTCGGGGTCGAGGGTTAAGTAAAAACAAACCAATATGAGGCTTCCTAAATAAAACTTTGTTATCACATATCACGTTAAAAGTTCAAGTATTCATGGTATCTGTAATTTGGTAGTATGGAATTGATAGCATCGTATCTATATTGACATGAGGCACTGCTTTACATATAATGTCCACTTAAGTATTAAACAAACTGAATATGCCTAGATAAACCGCCCACTTTACTTAATACATTGAAGCAGATAGCGAATATTTGGATTGTTACTCATTCTCACTGAAGTGTGAACGTATACGTTACACAATGGTTCAAGAAACGATATTTTATAGAGCGAAAAATTTCAATTTGTTCTAATAGCTGTTCATTACATAGTTGAATCTCGCCATAAAATTACACATCTACCTAACAGCAATTTGTAGAAAAAAACAGGTGTATAAAAACAAATAATTATAGTATAATCATGACGAGCGATTTGGCTTAAAATTAACTACAATTATTTCTAAACGGGTTTTTTGAATAACTTGCATTACAGCAGCCTAAATTCCTTGCTTTCTTATAATTGGACTTGCGAAGGTATTTTATTCCATCTAAAAGGCTGAAGTATTTACAAAATGTTACACACCTCATAGACTATGAGGTAAATGTCATTATTCCTTATAAATGTAAAAATGTATTGGCCCCAATTATGTGCCTTGTGGTATTTCCCATTTCATATCCTTTTTTTCTAGAACCTCAGTCAGAGCAGACCATTGGAGCTTGATCTCTGTTCATAGTTGAAAGCTTTTGATCTCAGTCTGTTGGGGGTTACACCAGGGATATGTGGACCAAGATCAGGTCAATCCGATGAACCCTTGTTGAAAGTCTATGCAGTAGCTTGATCCCGGTTCCATAATGTTTGTAGAATCGAGATTATCTGACGTAACCCTCTAAACCAGTGGTCGCCAACCCATCGATCTAGCGGTAGCTCGCAAAGGCAATTCTGGTGGTCACAACATGTTTTAAAAAGGTGTAAAAATCAGAGAAGCTTCCATACATTTTGTACATTCTCATAATAAACACAAGTAACGGCAATTCCGCGGTGAGCGATCTGTTCGAGAACGATCTCGTTTACTTTGAGCGGAATAAATACTCAAGGCGCGGCGAGAGTGCGCTCAGTTTAAAACTGAACGGTACAAAGTCCAGAGGATGGGTCGGAGTTGGCCTGCAATTAAAAATATTATGAGCAGTAGTAAAAACAATCGACAAAAGTATGGCTGCAACTGAAGCATCATACCGGGTGTCCCGGACTTTTACACAAAAAAAGATCTTTTGAAGTTTATTCCACCAAAAGGTCAAACTACTACGCAGGACTTGTTTTCTTCTTTTAAAAACATTATTTCTTCTGAGAAAATTCCAATATCGAAAATGGTAGGCTTGACAACCGATGGCGCTCCAGCTTTGGTTGGTTGAGATAAGGGTCTGGAGGGGTTATGTTGTAAAGATGAAAAATTTCCTGAATTTCTCTGTTACCACTGTATCCACAAGAAAACCAAAATCTCTAAGCCAGATTGAATTTACCAGTTCCGGAATCGGTTCATCACATTGTTTGAAAAATTTAAAACGTTTCAGCACTCGTCCCCTTCTTAACCATCGGACTTCAGAGTGAAGAAGTAGTTCCCCGTATTAACAGTCAATTTCATTGGCCAAGGTTTAGAATAACCTTCTTTGTAATGCTCGAGCTCTAATCGTGTTCAAAATTTTTACTACCAATTTCATAACTGTAGGATACGAAAGAGCTATGATAGTAGCAATATAACGATAAACGTGAAAACATCTCATCATAGAAGGTTTCGAAGTACCGCCCCGTACCATTTCATTTTTACTACATGGGCAGTACGTAAACAATTCGATATGGGCAACAATGTCAGTGTAACATTAAAGTCACTTACTTGGTGACGAAACGACAACGAGTTATCCTCCTTTGGCAAGCGATAAGGGCGATATGATCGGATTGTCGGGGCCATCGCCTATTTTTAGAAAAAGACTTGTGAGTATCTCCCGTATTCAACTGACTCATGACATCACATGCACAAATCTACTATTTACCATTACATTAATGTACCCCAACTACTACTACGGATTCTTCATCGTCACACAGACTAATCCTGACCGTCACACAGACTGATCATTAAGTCGTCACACAGACTGACTAGGAGTCGTCACACAGAAAAACTCTAACTCTTTGGTCGCTAGGTGTATGGTCAGACGTGCTGAGTTTAACGATTGTTACAAAAAGACAGTCCAGGAAGCGGGATATCACGCTGGCCAAGGGCCGTTGTGTCAATACCCCAAATCTCCGACGTTACCCCTGAATCCGAGGTAACCGAGCAATATGACTATCATTAAAGTAACAATCCCTTCACACATCCTGCCATGAGATACATTCAGACTCCAGCGATTGCCAAGAGAAGATAGTTACGCGGTCATTCACACCTAGGACGCCACTTCGGCCAACCACCTTTCAGGTAACCAAAACACTGTAATCAAGTTCGCAAAGCGCACTACTTGGTCTGAGAAGCGATCTCCTCCACGCAATAATTGAACTGCATCGCCATCCACGCCCGTATCTTTAACAAAGTTTATCCTGGGAACAAGTACCCAGAGAAGGAATGGAATGTATAATGTAAACAGGCGTAAGGGCTGTCGCGTTAAGTGACACTAAGCAGCCTTGTGAACCTTCTGGAAAGGTTTTGTGTGCTACAGGGTTGGAGTCGCATGCAAAAATGTGTTTGAGATATTTCGTAAGCTTACATAACGTTGTTTGATTTTAGAAAATGTCCTCATAATGCTTGCTGATGGATATTTTTTTATACCGAAGCAGCCGCGCAGGCAGACGCCTAAATGCCGAGACACCGCGCGCAAAATGTATCTGGCTTTCAGTAACTAAAGATAAATATTCAGTTTTATGTCGTGTTGCCTTGAAAGTGAAAGCGTTATTTAGTTCAACCTAGTTGTGCGAATATTCTTTTTCAAATAAGTTTATTAAAAAATACCGTAATCGACACAGACATTAAATTAATAAATTGTCCGTTAGTCTGAGTGTCAGGCTTCTGATTCAACACGCATTTTTGATCTGGACGTTTTTGTTTCAAATAGTGCGTTGCTTTTTTTATTTTTAACTACCTTTGATAAATCGTATGTGACATGCCATTGTAGCTGCCAAAAAATTTTGTTTATTTTTAAAACACCTACGGTTGGTAGGAATGGATGCAGTTATGTAGTTAGTTATTAGTTTATTTAAGTTTATTAGTATGTATTAGTATTATTAAAATAAACAAATGTATGTCGCATACAACTGTGCATAATTTCATTTAAGTTGGCTTACATTGCTTACGATTAGGTAGCTCACTGTTTATTTCAAAATTATCAAAGTATCACAGTGAAGGTTCGTGACCACTGCTGTAAGGTGATGATTTGAAAGGTCCTTCTTCTAACAATATCAACGACCTCTTTAGGAAAATGGAACTGTCAGAAGGAATATAAATAGGAGACAGCTAGAATAGAAAGATCATAGTTTGACCCACTCGCTATAGACCTAACCTGAGCAACCATTAATTGAACGAAGGCATGTTATATACCGTTTAATAGATGCATAACCTACTTGACCCAATCCCCGTATAATTGATACGAATCAATTATACAAATTACCTTGAGTAATTTCTCACGTATGACCGGAAAAAGAAAATGCGCATTTATTAACTCTCTAAGTAAAAGTAGCTGATCGTCAATTAACCTAATATGAAAATTATACATTGAAATTAATCAAACAGCAGCATAATCTTAGATAACACGTAACGCGCTGTCGGCTACTTCCACCGTGAAGAAAAAGCAACAACCGCTATGTCGACGGCTGAACGTAAACACTCGCACCGGTATCTAGTAGGCCGAGAACGTTTGACTTTCAAATGACCTCTAAGACACGTACAGCCAACCGCAAGATGCAAGACGCAACAGTCGTGTCTCTCAGACAAGACAACAAAAATATGAATAACAGTCTAGTAGTTAATTTGAATTTATATCTTTAGTGACTTGCAGGTATTGAAATAAGTGTACAGTATGGAAAAACACTTGGGGATTTGATTAGGCATCAGTGATCGACAAAATCCAAAGTAACAGGTTCATGGTCATCGATCACTATAATGAGAGTAACATTTTTATTATTGGTACAGTTCCCTGAATGTTGTTTTTTCGATATAGGTTAAGACAGTGCGACAGTGGTCGTCAACCTTTTCAGTGTGTTGAGGTACTTTGATAATTTTGGACTAAATAGTGACCTACCTAGTCGTAAGCAATGTAAATGAAATTATACATAGTTATATGCGACATATATGTGTTTATTTTACTAATACTAACACATACTAATAAACTTAAATAAACTAATAATTAATACATGCATTTCTACCAAATGTCGGTGTTTGAAAAATAAACAAAATTTTTGGTCAGCTACAATGACATGTTACATATTATTTAATAAAGGTAACTAAAAATAAAAAAGCATCGCACTGACCATTTTTTTAATGTTTGGAGTATAATTTGATGCCGCCATTTGAATACAACTATCCAAATGTTCATCTGTAAGTCGATTACGGTATTTGTTTTTAATAAACTTCATATCTGAAAAAGAAAATTCACACAAATAGGTTGAACGAAATAAAATAATGCTTTCACTCTCAAGGCAGCACGACGTAAAACTGAATATTTACGAGTATATTTTCTTACTGAAGGTCAGATACATGTTGTATTTGAGATCGCCATCGATTAAGTTTTGTTCCATATTTCTGTTGAACGATTTTATATCAGAAATAATTTCTGCTAGTTCTTTGTCTCTCCCTTGAAGCTGCAAATTAAGTTCATTTAAGGTGGTTTGCACCGCTTTGGGTTAAAGGTGAGGGTTACTTAACTCGGAGTTAGCGGTAACCCCAGGTTAAATTCGAGTAGCTTTGCACCGTCAAGGTTTAACTCTGGGCTTATAAACCCCGACTTTTGGCCATGCTGGCAAGCTTGGAATATAGTGATATTTCTTAGAATCAATACATTTATTGGCAACATTGCCACAAAGTCTAGTTCTGTGCTAAAAGTTTGTTGGTTTGTGCTGGGATTTGAAAGATTGGCGTATATTTTGACATTTTAGTACTTGTGTTTTGTGTTCAGTTTTTTTGCTATTTTTTCGATTATCGTTTGTGTTTGATTTGGCTGGATAAAATATTTTCAAATTCCCAACTTTCAAACAGAATAACAAATACGAGCCCCTTCCCACTTCAGTTGGCCCAACTATTGAAATCTTAGTTTTTTCTTATCAAACACAAATAATAAAAATGAAGCAGGGTGTTATAGGTTTAAAATATTAACAATGAATATTTTGATAATACGTATATATAGTAGAAAACACCAACTTTATCACTCCTTAATCAAATTTGCAGCATAAAAATAACACATGTTGCAATTACAGCATATCAACCTATTTTCATTTCAATGCAAAATAAGTCTATAACGCATAGGTGGCTGTGAAAAATAAAAGCCATGACAATTGTTTTTATTAATCACAGCTGTCAGAATACGTTTAAAATAGTTTTGGGTAGTTGAGGCTTTCAAAATGGGTAGAGGAAAGGTTGTTAGTGAGAAAATTCGGTTACTGATAATTAAATTTTTTATCGCGGTACAGTGTAAGAAATATTGTTAGAAGATATAACGTAACTGGCTCAGTTAATATTAAGCCACGATATCTGAAAAAAAG